CCCCCCCCCCAAATAAAAAAAGTCCACAAAGATAGGCCCACTGGAGAATTTTTATTTGTTTTTAAGCCTACCTTTAGGGTTCAATCTCCTCCCACCTTTTCCCCCCCTCCACTTGTATAACAAGGTGTTTGGAGGTCTAAATGAGGGAGAGGGAGAACAGTGCATTTCTTTTTATACTTTGGATCTGCTGACAATCTCTAAAGCAAAGAAAGAACTATAATGACATATCTTTTTTCTCTTTGAAAACTAGCATAATGAGAAGCTAGTATACTAGAATAGAGACATATTTCCTGGGTCAACTCCACTTTTCTTTCTAGGTAGTTTTTTATGGGGTTGGAGAAGGGTATAGTATGTTTGTTGGTACAGATTGATGCAGATTTAATATTGGAATCCTTTCCTTATATTCTTACACTCCTGGAGCAGATTTTAGAACTTCTCTAAATGTTCATATGAAATCATTAATTTTGCTCAATTATATTCATAGAAATACATTTTGTTCTATGCAAAATTACTTGGCCCCTCCCAAATAATTTCCAGTGCAGTTTTACTATGGCTGAAGATATATTTGTTTTCAATAATCAATTTTATTTGATTATTCATTTGAACAGGACAGTGACCAGGTTTAGATATATTAATCAAGTCCAACATAATGCCATTTGATTCTCTTTTATGTCATTTTCTTCCTGGATTCTTGCTTATCTATCTTTTATGCATTAAATAATGTCTAAACTTCATATGTTTGACAATACATACACAGATCAAATCTCTATAACGTCATTTTCTCTTCATTTCAAAATTAAGTATTATTTGTACTATTTTAATAACATGTCGGTTTGAGATGCGAGAGTCGAGAGAGATTATTTAATGGAATATGTCGTATTTTATATATGAATCGTAACCTAACACGCCTATCCTTTTAGATTTAATAAAGTAATTTATGCCGACCCTCACATTAGTTTCTGAATAGCAGTGAGGTCATTCATTTAATAATGTTCATATGGAGGCATTTGAAATGGACTTGTTGAAGTCTTACATAATAGCAAATGGAAGCATATTTTTATTAGTGAAGACAAAAGAACATTCTATGGGCATTTAGTTGATACCAAAGGAACGTTAAGCCCTATGTTTTTCTTGTGGAATTAAATCATTCTTTGGAAGAATCTATTCTTTAAGAAATAAAAGTATATATTTAATTATTCGTATATTATACTTCCATTGATGTTCTTAGGTATTTTTTAATCTCAGAGCGAATCTCATAGAGGAGAAAGCTTCTTAGAGAAAAAAATGTCGTTACGAAATAGTTGATATCAGTAACTTGATCAAACCATCAATGTTTAGAATGATACTTACATTTTATCTACTGATTTATGCTCGAATGAACTACTATTCAAACTCATTGATTGGCTTGAAAATCTATAATTTTCTCGAGCAACGTGTAAATTAGATATAGATATAAATGCTCACCCCTCCAAATGTTATTGGTTATTGTGATATTTGGAGTGCTAATATTTCAAGAATAAGATCTCTTGATTTTGCATTTGATACAATTATTATAAAATAAAATAAATAATAAATGAAATGAAAGGGAATAATTTTTGTTTTCAAGGGCAACATTATTGGCATCCCCTTCCTTTCATGGATAGAGACACGTGAAATGTATTATTAGTCCCAATTCCCAAAGCATTTATCTTCCCTTCAAAATCATCTCTTTTATGGATTTTTTTTTACCACATTTTCATAATTTTCAAGGGTGATTTTATTGTTGAAATTATATATGAAATCAAATCATTTTTTTATATATAAAAAGTCGGTACGAATAAGATATTATTATTTAAAATTTAGACATATTAATTATTGACATGTGAGAAAAAATTGACGTGTCGTCGATGATATGTCTTTCATGTGGAGCATATTGTTACATTACAAGTCATGGATGATGTTAAACGTTGGCCCATCCCCTTCTATTCGTATCTGTATGTAATGTTGTGATCATCTTTACATTCATGCCATTTTAACTTTTGTATTTGATTTTATAATGTAATCAAGTACCTTGTTCTTATTTATGTGCTTGACATTTTTCTTGCTTTTAAGTGGTAAAATTATGAATAAAGACTTACGATGATTCGATTCAAATTAATCATAGTTTTGATGTATTCTCGTCCGCCTTACAATTTTAAATTGCGTCTAATAGGAAGAGATTTTCAGAAGGAGCTTAGCATTCTCACTCATACAATGTCCTGACTCTAATACTATCTATAACAAATCAAATCCACACTCAGCAAATATTGTCTGTTTTGGCCCGTTACGTATCATCATCAACCTCACGATTTTAAAACACGTCTACTAGGGAGAGATTTTACACTCTTACAAGGAATGCTTTGTTCTCCTCTCCAACGGAGGTGGGGTCTCATAATCCACCCTCCTTGGGGCTCAGTGTCTTATTAGCACACTACCTAGTGTCTGACTCTGATACCATTTATAACCGCCCAAGTCTACCACCAGCAAACATTGTCTGATTTAAAAACTGTAAGATTGACAACTATATGTGACGAGCAAAAGACGAATAATATTTGGTAGCATTCGACCTGGATAGTTACAAAAAGCAGTCACATGAACCTAACTCATGTATAATTCTATTTTTATTATTAATTAATCTTTTTTATTTTATTGGGAAGGGAGAGTTAAAACATATATGTAATTAATTAGTACAATAAGATATTATTTTTATAACTATAAAATACAAAAATACTTTGGAGAATTATGTATTCGAATCCGACAGCCATAAGAATATTATTAATAATATTAAATCAAATATCAATAAATAATATTTGGATATGTTTTTCTTCTTATATTTTCATTAAAATAAACAAAAAAAAAACAAAAAACAATGTTCTACCAAAACGTAAAACTAGTCCGTAAAATCAAACCGTTTGTCTTTAGCCTAAACGAGTTAATAGTTTCATATTGACTGTTGTTAAAGAGTCACTGTTATTACGAGATAGTTACACTGTGTCTGTCATATTCAATAATTTCTTTCTCTCTCTGCACTCGATCGAGAGAGAACATACCGAGAATCTCTCTCTTTATATGTTTTTCTCTCTGATTCATGCAACATATATATCGGAGTATGTCCTTATCTAGTCGGACATATATATCTTTAGGGCTCATTCTCTTCCCCACCTGTTAAATAAGGGTTTTTTTTTTTTTTTTTGCTTGTTATTATTTAGAGAGAGAAAGAGATGAGACCTAGGGTTTTGTGTATTTGTTATGTGCATGTGTTAGAGAGAGAGAGAAAGCATTGGATACCCAAATAGGGATGGGAAAGCATATGTGGTGTGAAGCAAAATCCAAGGGAAAACAGACAAAAGTGGTTCCATTTGTCTCAATATTTTATTAATTTATATATTTTTTTAATTCCCAAAGATTATTACACTTAAAAAAAAATTAAATTTCAAATTTATCATTATTTTTTAATTAAACTAGTTATTATCTCAACTCCGTTTCAGGTCACTCACATACTATGATGTCCCAGATTGGTGGGGAGAAAAACAAATCACCATTTATAAGGGTGTGCAAACCTTCTCCTAATAGATGCGTTTTAAAGCCTTGAGAGGAAGCCCAAAGAGAACAATATCTGTTAGCGGTGGATCTGGGTCGTTACAAATGGTATTAGAGCCAAACATCAGACGATGTGCTAGCCTTCTCGTTGTTCCCTGAAAGGGGTAGACACGAGGCGGTTCTCCTTGTTCCCCGAAAGGGGTAGACACGAGAGGGTGTGCCAATAAGGATACTGGGCCCTAAAGAGGGTGGATTTGGGGGCGGTCCCACATCGATTGGAGGAAGGAAAGAGTGCGAGTGAGGACGCTGGCTCCGAAGGGGGGTGGACTGTGATGTCCCACATTAGTTGGGGAGGAGGACAAATCATCATTTATAAGAGTGTGGAAAAGCCCCGAAGGGGGGTGGACTGTGATGTCCCACATTAGTTGGGGAGGAGGACAAATCACCATTTATAAGAGTGTGGAAAAGCAGACGCGTTTTAAAGCCTTGAGGGAAAGACAATATCTACTAGCGGTAGATAGATCTGGGTGGATAATATTTACTGGCAGTGGATCTAGGTCATTACACATACTATTTCATGTTCCAATTTTAATCCAACCTTTGAACTAACTATTCTAATAGTAGTTTTGAAACATTTATGAAAGAATTCATATTGAAACCAGGATCAAACAACTAAAATCAGTTTATAATTTTCACTACAAGAAACACTCAAACGCCAATCAAATCTTCTCAAATCAATTCAATGGATTCAGCACCATGAAATTCAAGAACACGAAGATGAACACATGAATCACTCGAACCAAATCTTGAAATTGTGAAATATTCGAAACCAAAAAAGAAAAGAAAAATAAAGAATTACAAAATGGATAGAGACAAGTAAAGGTATCACGGACGGTTTGTGTGAAATAGAAAGCAAAAGTATGGGGAAATGTAAACTCCCGTATATGTCTCTTTGCTTCTGACTCTCTGTTGTACTGAAATGACAGTCCCTAAAGTTACTGATTTACCTTTAATTATTACTTAATCATTCTATTCCAGATTCACCCCAGAAAGGTAATTTACTTTTTTCAATATTACTATTTTTTTTTAATAAAAAACACTCTCTCTGTTTATTACTTCTAGGTAGATTAGGTCCACTATTCCCCCCTTCCTTTTCTTTTGTTTTTTTCTCTATATTAATATTCGTCACGCCATTGCTTCTATTTGATTGGTGCTAAGGACGTGACGGTGTTCGGGTGTTTCGTTTAGCTTTCGAGATGGTTTTGAAGTTTTAAGTAATGTTTGAAAACAAGTACAATAAGTGATTAATTGACCTAAATTTTCTTGTTTCGTAGGTGTATTCGGGAGTTTATAGGTCCATTGTTCACAATTGGCCTCCCTAGAGCCATGTGGACTCGAAGAAACAACAAGCCTCTTAGCGAGACCATCAGAAACAAAAGTGGGGAGTGGCATCTAACACTTATGATCGGTTCGATCTATCAAGCTGCCTGTCTCCTTTCCTGTGAAATCCCACATGGGCTGGAGATAAAAACGAAACATTCCTTATAAGGGTGTGAAAACCTCTTTCTAGTAGACACATTTTAAAATCGTGAGGCTGACCGTGATACGTAACGGGTCAAAGCAGACAATATTTAAGCTAGCAGCAGCCTCGAGCTATTACAAATGGTATTAGAGTCTGACACCAGGCAGTATGCCAACGAAGACACTAGGCTCCCAATAAGAGAGGATTGTGAGATCACACGTCAGTTGGAGAGAGGAACGAAGCATTCCTTAAATGGGTATGGAGACCTCTCCCTGATAGACGTGTTTTAAAACCGTGAGACTAACAGCCATATGTAAGAGGCCACAATATTTACTAGCAGTAGCCTCCGACTATTACATTTCCCTACCTCCTATTGACTTCCATATACTACCCATTCTCGTCCTTGCAGGTCATGGAGAATCTCCCATACTTTTTCAACCCCTAAACTTACGAACACAAATGAGTCAACAAGAACATCTTTCATGTCACAAGACAAAAGCTGGTACAAACATAGACATGGGTGTAGTTAGTAAGTAGAAAGATACATAATTAATTAACAAACTCAAATGGGTCCCCCTTTTTTTTGCATTGAAAAATTGAATGAACAGTGTTGGAGTTTGAGCTTCAAAAAAAAGGTACCAAATAAAAATGAAAAAACTGTATTCATTGTTGTCAAAAAGAGAGAGACAAACAGAGAAAGTTGGTTGCCCATTCCAACAAATGGGTTACACAATTGATATCAACACCATAGAATTTAATATCAATATCATAAGAAAAAGAGATATCATTGTTGCCTTCAAGCTTCTCACCATATATATAATTTATGGTGTTTTGTTCAGATTCAAACCCTTCAACTTTGGTTTTTACTGTCTTTTGGCAGAACCCTAATTAGTCTCCTCTTCCCTTTGTCAAAACATCACCATTTCCACACACCCAAAACCCCCCTTCAAATTTGTTAGCTGTTTGTGTGCAGAAGGAAAAATTTTAAAAATTCTTGGTTTTTTCTTGTTTGTTCTTGTCTAAACCTTCTTCAATCCCCTCCAAAATAAGAACCCATTACCCAAAAACACTATGTCATCTAATCCCTTTTCTCTTCTCTCTTCCACTCCCACTCCCTTTGCTCACCACCCAGATGCAAACCCTAGCCCTAACCCTAAACCCAAACCGTCCGCTGCGGCGAAGAAGAAACGAAACCTCCCCGGAACCCCAGGTGAGCTTCTTTTTCTTTGATTCGATTCGACTCCATTCGTTCGTTTAAGCGAAACTTGAATAAGTTGTGTTGTTGTTATTGTTGTTGTTGTAGATCCTGATGCGGAGGTTGTTGCTTTGTCGCCGAAATCGCTCATGGCAACGAATAGATTCATATGTGAAATTTGCAATAAGGGGTTTCAAAGAGATCAGAATCTGCAACTTCATCGACGAGGACATAACCTACCGTGGAAGCTTCGACAACGAACGAACAAGGAGCCGATTAAGAAGAAGGTGTATATTTGCCCGGAGAAGACGTGCGTTCACCACGATCCATCACGAGCCCTCGGCGATCTCACCGGAGTAAAGAAACATTTCAGCCGAAAACACGGCGAGAAGAAGTGGAAATGTGATAAGTGTTCTAAGAAATATGCTGTTCAATCTGATTGGAAAGCTCACTCCAAAACTTGTGGGACAAGAGAATATAAGTGTGACTGTGGAACTCTTTTTTCCAGGTAAACTTTTTCTCCGATTCGAACATTTGACTTTTAATAGACCAGATCGATGTTTGAATCACGGATCGGTCAGAATTTGAAATCGAACATGTTTTTCTAATCATGGGTAATTTATGAATCAAGAAAAAAGCCAAAAAAATTGAAACTTTTTTTTTAAATGTTAAAGACAGAAGTAATTAATGCAGATTATGTGTTTGAATTGTAACAAAAATGACAAAGATTGGAACATTAAATGTTGGATTTTTGTTGTTCCTCGTACAGGAAAGACAGCTTCATAACCCACAGAGCATTTTGCGATGCATTAGCTGAAGAAAGTGCAAGAATCACGACAGTTTCAGCAACAAATATTCTGAATAATCTCAGAAATGATTCAGTTCTTCTTCATCAACAAGATCAATCTTTGATTGATCATCAGACCAATAATCTTCAAACACTTGGAGATGTTCCTGCCCTTTCCCAATTCACTCACTCTGATCACTTTCTAAGAGACTTTGAAGATCATCAACACAAGAACAGATCTCCTTTCTCACTTTGGTTGAACAATAGCAACAATATTTCCAACTTTTATGGAGCTTCCTCTTCTTCTTCCAATCTTTTTGGATCCATAGCCGAAACTGGGCTTTCGATGTTGCCCGTGTTCGAGAAGGAAGATGTCGAGAGGAAGGGAAGTTTGCCGAAAGCTACGTCGTCGGCAGCTGCACTGTTGTCGGGTCAGTCGTCGTCCGTTGTTTCTTCTTCTCCGATGTCAGCCACCGCCCTTCTGCAAAAAGCTGCTCTTATGGGCTCAACTAGAAGCAGCACCAACAATAATTCCCCGCTTATCGATGCCGGTGCTTTCGGAGTGATGAACTCTTCGTCTTTGTCTTCGTCCTCGTCCTCCAACGCTGTAAGCTTGAACTCTTTGAACAAATCTAGAAGCATGTCAATGGCTGACTCGGTTCAGATGGTCGGTACCAACTCCGATTTAAGCTCGAATATTCTCAGCCAGCTTCTAATGCCACTCAACAACGGTAAATTTAATCTTTTATTCATATTCTCAACGCTCTTTTTCCACTCTAGATTTGGAAATTACTGCCATTAATCGAGGATTATGAAATACTTAACCAATTAAATCATGTTCAAATTTATAAACCGAATATATTCATATTCTTAACGTAGGTAACAACAGTATGAAAAGTAACGACCAAACGAGAGACTTCCTCGGTGTCGGAGGAAACGGAGAAGCACCCCGGCCACCGTTCCTTCCACCAGAGCTGGCAAAATTCACCGCCATAAACTCAACAATGGGACTAAGCCAGTTCGCCGCCAACCACTAAATTCCATCATCAAAACCTTAATCAAATCGAAGGTGAGTGGGGAAAAAAAAAAAAAAAAAAAAAAAACACCATTTTTATGTAAGAAATTAGACCGTCAAAAACCAAGATGAATTCACAGATTTTTACTGTGCAGGGCGGCGGAAAGGGTCAGGCGGCGGCGACGGCAGTGGCCACCGGTGAATGGTTAAATTGACAGTTTCAGAACGTAGTAAAAAAGGGCCGTGCATGTAAACCTTTTCTTCTTGTAATTTTCTATGCTGTCGTTTTGTTTGAACCTTTTTTCGTAATTTCGCTTTCAAATTATTGCATTTTCCAGACAAAACTGCTCCTATATATAAATAAATACAAATATATATATATATTTGACTACTGGTCGTCGGCAGCCACCACCGGTCCACCGGTCAACGTTGGTAAGTATACTATGACATGGAACAGTTGAGATTAATTACAATTTTTCATATTTTGACTTTAAAAATATTCAATTCAATCTTAAACTTTCAATTTTTTTATTAAAATTTGGAATATAACATTAACAAATATTAATAATATTACATAGAAAATTCAACAAAAATAAAAGAAATTAAATATATTTGAAAATTTAAGTTTCCAATGATGTTTATAGATTGAGAATTTCAAGACCCTAATTCAAGAGATTTTTTATTTATTATTATAAATTTAAAAAAAAAAAAAAAACATTACGTTGGGAGTAATTAAGATGGAGAAGAATGTATATAGATAGATAGGGTCCTAGGTTTGATTGTTTGTAGGGCACTTTTGTTGCTAGGGAACCACCTGCTTGGGGCACCCACCCCTACCCATTTGACTTATTTTATTTATTTATTTCTTTTTTACTTTCCAAGTAAAAATAATAATAATAATAATATAGGACAGCCCCTAAATTCAAAAGGGCTTTTTTGAGAAGCTCAACTTTTTGAAGTCCTAAAAACAAAGGACTTTCAAAAGTATTTATTTATTTAGATTGAGAATTATAGTGTAATGATTTTACCTTTTTGTGTTAAATTACAAAAAGAAAATGGAACAAAATTCACCTTTTAAAAAGGTGCCTATGTCCTTCCCAAATAAATCATAATATTATTAAAGATTTAATTAAATCCATTATGATTAAGTTAATACGTAATAAAATTTGGCATTTAATTTCGATGAAGTTTATTGTGTGATATGAATTTGATGGCGGTAAATTTGGAAGTATAGAGATTGAATTGATATACGTTAAAAGTTGAAGAACTAAACTGTAATAAAGACTAAATTATAAATGACTTAATTGTTTATTCTACTATAAAATTGAAATAAATTGGGGTTTTTAACCTAAGAACTATTACGGTAACTCCAAAGCTCGAAAATGTAGCAAAATTAGGGTTTTGTGGTTAACACAACTCTCGTTACAGTAACACCCACACTTTTTTATTGAGATAAATCAAGGAGATTACGAGGCACTCTCTGAGACCATACAAACGTGACGAGGGATGGATGAATATTTATAGTAGACGTTCGACAATGTGGACCACAAATTTGTGATCAATCTATTTAGATATTTAAATAATTGGACTTGCATAGTTATTGGGCTTTACATATTGTGCCAGTGATCATGATTTTTTGGGCTTTTATTGGGCTTCCTATTGGGCTAGTGATCATCTTCGATAATTCCCACAAGACCGTGATGTTTTGGGCTTTTATCGGTCTTTCTATTGGGCTCTTAGCCCACACAGATTTTTTTTTTTGCCAAATTTAATTTATTTTTCAAGAATATTTTTAAAAACATTTTTACCATTTATATTGCAAAGTTTAAACAAATAAAAATACTTTAAATAATGATAAATTTTTTAAGAGTATATTTTACAATGTATATTAAAATAAATTATCATCTTCATTGATTGTTTGATCTAATTATGATGTTCCAGAGCGATTCTGTACTACTGTCTCCTGTTAAATTACGATAAAGCCCTTACACGCCAATAATTTAGGGCCCACAGTCTTCTAATCTCAAATTCTGTCCGTTCAGTGCTCGACACGTGTACCTCTTTGTTTAGATCTTAGAAGATCCCCTCGTGCCACGTAATACCCAGAGTTGAGCACGATTTCAGTAATCTCTCACTATTAATACCACCGCTCCTATTAGATCAAACTTCCATTGTTGTTGTTGTTCTTCTTCTTCTTCGCTCGAAACCCTAGGCCTGAAATTGTTCGATCTCGATCTTGAGTTCCAATTAGGGTTTTGGAGGTTTCTGTGCTGTGGGAAATCAGAATTTGAAGAATGTGAGGTAGTTTTTTGAGCTTTATGGGTTGATTTGGGTACTTCAACGATGGTGTCTTGGGACGGGAAGATTCGAAGGATGAGGGTTCCGAAGAGGGTCTGGTTAATTTTCCAAAAATCTATGGGGCTCCTCGTGGGTGGAAATCACACATCATCCAGGTTTTGTACTCGCTAAATTTCTTTTGTTTCTCTGTGTTGATATTATTTTGAGGAATTATTCCGATTTTACTTCGTCTTCGACGACGATAAACGAATTCTGTGCTGAGATTGACTGGTGATTGGAGAAATGAGTTTGAAGGCTTTGAAATGGCAGATCGCTCATGGGGCATTGGCCAGGCGTGTTGTTGTTCGAACATTCCTTCTGGCCTTGGCTGTTTCGACTGTTCCTTTGTTGCATATTTTGACGGGTACCGATTTCGGAGTGATCTTTCGCGATTGTGTTGTAAAATCTGGCGATGTGGAAGCGAGAGTTTCTCGCGGTTCGTATATGTTTCAAGGTCACTTTCTGAATCCAATTTGGGAGCCATTCGTAGCGATTCACTGTGAGGAAAACATGAATCTGACGACTAATGTCGTTGCTGAGCTAATGGAGAAGAAATTGTTGGATCATAGTGCAAAATCTCTCTGCGTTGGAGAGGGATCGGGCTCCGCCGTTTTGGCACTGAGGGGCATGGGATTCAATGATGTTATTGGTGTTGGTGAACACCGATTTTTCTCTCTAAGGAGAAAACAGTTCGTTTATGAACTGGACTTTAAGGATCAATACTTTGATTTTGTTTTCTCTAGAGACCTAGACAGGTACTCAGTCCCTGCACTTTTGGTGCTCGAGATCGAGCGTGTGATTCGACCTGGCGGAATTGGGGCTGTTATTGTGGGCACGACTGGTTCAGTGCTGAATAATTTGATTAGAGCTGCAATTCCAGTGTCTTCTTTGCTTAAAGCTTCCACTGTGATGCATGTTGGCCATGTTAATAACTTAACTCTGGTTGTATTTAAGAAGAAACTCGAAGAATTTGCGCATTCGGAGCCTCGCCCGTCGTTTGAATGTCGCTCTCTCACAAGGAACAAGCCTTTAATTCCAAAAATGGAGCCTCTTGTGAAAGCAAAATCCCTTGACAAGAAGCTGGCTTATTTGCCTAAGCTTGTAAATGCTTCCAATGGCGAAAAGTTGGTTTATGTTAATATTGGTACAGGGAAGCGCCTGAATTACACCAACAGAGATTGGTTTCCACCTTCTTATCCGGTGGATCGCAGAGATTTTAATGTTTATTTTGTTGATTACGACATGTCCTCTCTCGCCGCACATATCCATATGCCTGGAGTCACGTTTGTCTATCATCCTGGCCTGGCTGGAACTGATCGTACTACAGATAACGACGGCGCTGATGATGAAGACGAAGAAGAACCTTACATCGACGACGAGTTTGATTTTCTATCTTGGTTCAAGGAAACTGTACAGCATGCCGATTTCGTCGTCTTGAAGATGGATGCAGGGAAGGAGGAACTGAAGTTTCTATCAGATTTGTTCGAAAGTGGGGTGATTTGCTGGGTGGACGAGCTGTTTCTAAGCTGCAGAGATGGGGTTGATGAAGATGGTGAGGTGAAGAAAAGAGACTGTATGGATCTGTTCAAGGATTTGAGAAACAGTGGTGTGTATGTCCATCAATGGTTTCTGGAAGCTCCATCCTCCATGAAACTCTGAAGCTGCGTCTGTTTGGTTGGTAAGCAAGAAAATGGCTGAGTTGCTGTGTGGTTGGGCGCTCTACCAGAGACTTTTATAATAAGCAACCCCACTATGTTTGTTTCCTTTTTGTTTTTCAAGCACTGAACCGCTGAACTGCATCTGCATGGTTCTTTGGTTTGAATAAACAAGTCTTGTTTGTGTTCGCTGTATGGTTGGTGATGGTGTTGATGTTGATGCACTTTTTTAAGTTTGATTATGATTTTATGAGTTTTGAGGTCCTATTTTTGTTTTATATTATAACGTTAAATCATAGTCATAATGTGCGCACCGACGGTGGAGAGTTTGAGCACTTTTATTTTAGTATTATTGAGGGGATAGGGGAACATTTTTAAAGAAAACCAAGCCACTTTTTTACTTCAGCTTCTCTTTCATACATACGTTGCTTTCATTAAAGTTTGTTTAAAATTTTGTGCTTTCATGAAAGTTTGTTTTGAACTTTCATTAAATAGTACAAACCTTTTAATGAAATAATGAAGAATAAAAGAAAGAAGTGGATGTATATATATGGGATGTGTAAACTCTCCCTCACGGGTTTTAAATTCTTGAGGGGAGCTCTGAAAAGAAAGTCCGCCCAAGAGGGTGGATTGTAAGACCCACATCGGTTGGAGAAGGAATGAAATATTCCTTATAAAAAAAACGAGAAGCTCGGAAGGAAGAAAAAGTCCAAAAGAGGTATATGGTGGATTGAGGTCGTTACAATATTATTTAATTTTGATTCCTCCGACATTTCAAAAGGCATATTTTCCCGTAGTAATGATTATTATTTAATTTTGATTCCTCAACATTTCAAAAGGCATATTTTCCCGTAGTAATGATGGAACATACACTTATTTAGCGGTATGATAGTCGATACCAAATACGAAAGAAGGTGATCAATGTATATTAATCAACTAAACTATACTGAAACTACTTGTCGACACATCATTGGAGGAACTCTTTCTACAATAGAAACTCTTGATGTTGGAATACTCGCTCAGTGAGAACGAGAGAACATGAAAGCCATATAGTTATACAAACATCCATGTCCTAAGAACCAAGTTTTAGGACCAGACACCAATACCAGGATGTTAGAAACAAGGAGACAAAAAAAAAATAGCAAGGATACAAACAAATAAAACATGGCTCAGCTCATGTATACAATAGAGACTTTCGAGATCATGAGAATACAAGCACAACTGTTTACAGTTTCTTTCCTTTTGTTTTTCCTTGGCACAAAACACAACGCGCTGGTTATAAACTTAAAGCTTTCCTTCTTGATTATTTAGAACAGCAGGTAGAGAATTCGAGGGAAAGAGAATCAGTTCAGATGATGCAAAAAGAAATGCAACAAAAGCAGTGCTGTACAGAGTTTGTTTTATGATGAGACGATACTCGTACCGTTCTTTATTCTTCTGGCCCATTGCTGACCCTTATCTCTAAGAGCCTATCGACTGGTTGTCTGCAAATCGGGCATCGATTCGTCTGGAACCTCAACACCTTAGCACAACCACTACACATGCACTGTCAAGAACAAGAGAACAAATCAATGGTGCCTAAGGATTGAATGTAGTGAGCACAAAGGAGTGCAGGAGACATAACTTTTGTAGGCATGAAGATATCAGCTCAAATAAAACAGAACCAAGTGAAACAGGCTTCCATATGATCATAGTATTGTGAATAGCGTAAGAATCATCTACAATAAACTAAGAAAGAGATAGTTGTTGTTACCATGTGTCGGCAGGGAAGTACAGTCGTGTCCCGTGGTTCAGACAAGCAAATGACGCATTCCTTTCCGGGGTCATTTCCATCGACCTCGCCCTCGACTGAATTTCCAATGCCATATATCTCCTGCAGCTCATATCTCATACCATTGACCCACAGGATTTGTTTCAGCACTCTTGCCTGATATTCACCTTTATCTTTCTCAAACACAGCCTGGGTTATCTGAGCATTCATGGGCTCAGGTACCAAGGTACCATCTGGGCCAGTTTGGCTGTCAGTGGAAGCCTCAGCTTTCACTGCCAGTGGATAGACATCCGTGTCATTTACTTTCAGAAATTCTGACTCTTCAAACTTTGAGAAATCTATTCCTGTTCCAGAAGGTTGTCTGAACTTCTGTCCAAGGCCTTGTTCGAAATGGACAGTTACTGGTTGAAGAATGTCTTCTTTTACGGGAGTCAAGTTGCAATCTTCACCTTCTTTTGCAAAGAAGAAGATGGTGATACTGTTTCAAGATAAAAGAGACTCAAATTCTCAGGCTATCCCCATAAAAGAAAATTTAACATTTGACAGGACTATTAACACAACCGTAGATGCTAATAAAAGGAAAACAGAAAGACCCTCTAAAGACGTTTTCAAAGGCTCTTAAGGTCTATATGCCCTAAGGCTTGTTGCGAGAGGAGTCCCACATCGACTAATTAAGAAGTTTATCATGGGTTTATAAGGAATACATCTTCATTGGTATGAGGTCTTTTGGGGAAACCAAAAGCAAAACCATGAGAGCTTATGCTCAAAGTGGACAATATCATACCATTGTGGAGGTTCGTGATTCCTACAATATCTTCGGCTTAGAGACTAAGTTGTATTCAATTCATTAGAGGCTCATACCTCTTACAAGAGAGACTGCCTTTATAAAAGTGTATCAAGGCTTGGAATACTCATGCATTATGGCAATAGTTAAAGGAATAACACCCATTTATAATAGTCATCTTACGTAGGGCTCGGGTGGCGTCTCGTTATTACTTTCACTAAGACTTGAACGAGTCCCTAAAGATAAAAGTTTAACAAAAGGTCAACCACTCGTCCCATTAATAATAGTGATAGTGGTGATATGAAAGAGTTGGTGAACTTTTATATGAACATTATATTTAGAGATTCACGGTTTTACATTCTTATGATTTCAATAACGATTCTCTAACGTAACTTGAAACTTCTGCCTCGCCTCTGAAAACAAGGCCTCGAGACTACTAAACCTTTTCAAAAATTGCCTATGATTAAACTTATAAGCAGCAAATGAAAGAACTACCAACATTTTCGCTTTTCGTTTTCGGTGGGGTGAGGGGGGAGTGGGAGGGCAATCAATAAGTTAGGTCGATGAATTCGACCTATATACTATCAGCATAATCAACAAATAGCTATACGTCAACCCGAACATAGCTCAAATAACCAAATGTTCGTAAGTTCAAACCCCCTCCCCTCATGGATAAGTTAAAAAACCCAAGAACAAACACCTGCAGTCTTGGTTAAGGTGTGTTCAAATTCAAGCCCAGATTCTAGCATTTACAACAACGTACACCTGAAGTTGACTCAGTTTAGTTTTAAGGGGTCAACAATCCCAATAAGCTCTCAATCATCTCTAAGCTTATAGAAAAATCTCCTCTTCACCACCACAGAGAACTGACAAGTTATAGTTTTGATCACTAAATATCTACAAAACCAGAGCTCATGACTTGTTCTAATCATTTATAATAACTATGGAGGGCTTCATAAAATCATTATTCTACCATTCTTGCTCCTCAGTATCAGAAAAACAAAAGCAAATAAATAATTAAAAAATCTGACCCAACACTTCCACAATACCGTCAGATGACTTCAATTAACAATCACAGATACAAAAAGGAAAGCAAGAGCTCCAATGATTAGAACACATACCTTCCGGCGACGGTGGCATCGAACGTGAATGCTACAAGGAATTGGCCGGGGTTTTCTTCATCAGGCTCGACCCTAAGAGTTTCCTTCTTGAGATTGACATCGTTTCGTATGGTAACCGCCTTCTGGTGCTCAACATACGGCGTTTGAGGCGGCATAGGAGGGCCATAAGGGTACCTCCCACCGACCCAATGCGCGGGATCCATGTGGGGATGGGCTCCACGGTGGTGGTGATCGTAAGGAGGCGGCAAAGACATCGGCATCGACGGCGGCGGACCAGGCGGCGGCGGCGGAAAGTAACCAGGATACTGGTAATACGGCGGTGGGTGATTCGGATGGTTGGGGTATTGAGATGGGTAAGGCGTAGCGGCAGCGAAAACGTACCGATTACTTGTAATCTCGGGCTGTGGTGGGGCTGGTGGAGGCGGAGTCGGGTGGCCGCCCCGGCGGCTACCGTGCCTTCTCCGGGTATTGGAACCGCTACTACCAATGTTACCCATGGAAAGAAATTTTGTGTGAAATCGAATGAACCCAAATCAGAAAAAGAAAAACCCAGGTGAATTGAAGAGAGCTAGTCCGTTAGAAGTGAAGAAGAAATCAGAAAGGACAGAGAAAAGTGGAAGAAGGTGAAGAAGATATAATGGAAGGGATTGGGAATGGGGGAACAGAGACAGAGGAAGAGGCTAAAATAATTGGGAAAGGGGGGAAGAACAGAGGAGAGAGAGAAAAGAAGGGGGGAGGGCAGCGGAGGTTGGGTGGCGGGTATAATGTGGCTTGCGTAAACCTCCACCCACAAAAACCATCACTCCTCTTTAAACTCACCTCTTCTTTCTCTACCTTTCCCTTCCAAATTATACATCCAAATCTGTTGTTTTTTGTGCCCTAAATTACATTTTCTTCTTAATCATCTTTCTAATTTGGCTAATACTTTCAGACTTAATTGGTTAGAAATTTTGTTTTTTTTGTTTTTTTTTTGTTACTCCCCTCTCAATTTAGTTAACGTCCCTTGTCTTGCTTCTTGTCATGTTTGGAGGTCGTGCACTGTCACACCACCATCTTCCTTGTCATTTTTGACACTACCGTCTTCATTGTCATTTCTAAATTTGGGAAGGAACGGATACCACAAATGTTAGGGGTAAGATCTGAGAGTATAACGGCCTGAGACCCACATAAGTTTTTAAAATACCTCACTTTGTCTCTGATCTTTAGAACATTTCTTTAAAAAATCTCTAATATTTTTTTAAAGCCTTGATTTCATTCGGATTATTTATATCTCTAATTGGACCCCATACTTTCACAAAATATTTTTAAAAAATAATGGGTAATTTTAAAATATAGTATCATATACAATAAAATAATGAAATTTATATTGAAAGGAAGCAAGTGGGAAGAAAAAAGAACGGTAAAGATAAAAAGGAAATTATGCCTTTTTCCACTAACTGAATTCTGTAGCCTGAAAATAAAGAAACAAAAAATGGTACACACCTTATTATCATTTGAATATTTGTCTTCATCCACCAAACTAAACTCATTTTACTTGCCCTTCAATTATATATATATATATATATATAAACAAAAACTGGTACACACCTGACTTTTTTTTCCTGGATGCATAAAATAATTAGCAAGCAATTCAATCAAAACAGCAAGAAATTAGGATTTCATGAACATCTATTCTCTGATAAAACATAGCACTGAACATTGAATGAAATTATGTTTTATTCAACAACAGAGTGCAGTCTGCAAAATGCTGACTGATTCCATACAAAGGAAAGGATTTCATCTCCATAATACACATGCAATTTAAGCCGTTTCCAGGCACCACAAAAAGAATAGCATAATTTAGAGGTTCTTACTGCAACCTTTTAAGATCAAGAAGTTCAATTTTTCACGGTTGTCACATGCTTCAGGAGCATGTTCACAACATCGTGTGAAATTCTAGCAGACTCTTCTTTCAGGTTTTGAATCTTTACGTCTGTCTCGACTTCGAGCCGCTTAACATTAGCTCCCGAATCTCCGCTACTCTGTATGATCAAAGGATGAAGATGAGATGGGGAAGCAAGGGCAGAGTTAGCGGATATTTTAACATATCATGATGGTTTTTACACAAGAGACGATGTGTGTTTGTAATAATAATTCTATACTAACCTCAGTGAGTTTTCTTTGGAATTCAGACTCGACTTGGGCTCGATATGCAGCAATTTCCCTTTCAGCCTCTTCTTTGGCTTGTTTCAGTCTAGCCAATTTTGCTAAAAGAAAAGGAAAATCAAGTTGTTGAGTTATAAATTATGTCTAACTTCAACAGGTTCATAAAGCAATGAGAAAAAAGTAGATCAATAACGGGAAAAGAGGAGATGATAATGATCCTTCTTCACACTTCACAAACTCATGTCAAGCAAATTATGAACTAAAGTATGGAACTAAATGCAATTCGAGGAAATCAACCTATATGGACCAAATAACAAATTTTACATGCATATGAATGTTAAACATATATAACAAAATAAAATAAACCAAGAGCAAGTTTACCATTTCTGGCAGCATTGACAATGTGTTGAGCTTCTTGCTCTGCAGCAAGCAATTGTTGGATACCACCTTGACCCCTAGTTGCCATTTTCTCCTATAAAAAGAAAATGACTTTATGGAAAAGGTAAACAAGTAAAAGAGGCCATGAATCTCAGCAAAGAGACATCCTGATCAGAAACTGTGATGCCAAATACAGTCGCAGATATCATCATGGTTAATTTTTCTTTGATGAGATCATTGTGACTTAATGAATCGAACCAATTTCTAAACTCAAATCTTGGTAGTAACAGTAGTAATGGACCAAATTATCACAAAATCGTGCATTAATACACAACAAATAAGAGGATTTAATACTTCTAAGAATACGTCGAAGTTACTCTTTCAACTTCCACAAAAGCCATGAGTACCTTCGGCTGATGGAGCCTTACTCCTCTTAGAAATCAAACAAGCCATAAATCTTAAGACGTAAAGTTGTACTTCAAAAGTTGCACTTTAGGTGTTCTGGCTCAAGAGTCTTTCCAAACATCGTTAAAGAATTGTCGTGGCTTCTATGCTCAGTTAGCAACTATTTCGATCTTTGTTTCGTCTTAATGTAGTCTAAACTAGTCTATAAAGTTTAAGTTACAGTTCATCTCCCTAACAACCTAATTTTAGTCTGAACTCTTAGTCCTCCGTAGTTATAGCATTAACTACCTAAGAGGTAAAGTACAAGAAAACGATTGAATGTTCCTCATTTTCAGTTTCAAACCAAGTCAACTTAGAAATTTGATGCATCGGAACAGAAAACAATCTATATCTCAAATGCTGCTCATAGATTAAACCCAAACCTAGTTTACGAAAAGATTGTTCGACTCAGAATAATGACAAAAGTTTCAGTTTTTTAGATAGAAAATCATAAATCAATAGTGTGCGTCAAAGTAAGACTGAAAACCTTTAAGTACAGCACAAATCAAGGTCAAATTTCAAATTCCGAATTCCAACACTCCAACGCTTGCCAGATACAGTCTCCTTCACCCGGCGGGAGCGGATTAAGCGTATATGCCTACGTTTCTCGATTCGTCAGAGTCCAAATCTAAGAAAACAAAGAGATCGCCCTAAAAAATTCTGCTATCAATCCAAAGAGGACCGGAAGCACAAAACAAAAGGATCCAGAAACACAGATCTATCTCGTGAGTAACCACTGTCTATCAGCCGTACACCAGAATCGGCGGGACAAAAACAGAATAAAGCAATCGCCACTCAAAGAAGTAGAAGAATTAATCACACACAACAGAATAACAAAGCATTGACCAAGATCGAGCAATCGTAGATTCAGATTCCAAAACAGCGGATCGTGATTAGAACAAGTTACGGGGAGAATTAGAGAGAGAGAGAGAGAGAGAGAGATAGGAAGCAATTATGATCGGTACCCGTAAATTGGAGATTTTCCCGGAGCGAAGAAATCGGATAACTCAGATGAAATCGGGGCGCTCTTTAGACGGAAAGTGTAGAAGAAAAAGGAGGAAGAAGCGAGATTTGTGGTGCGATGGATTTTAATATAACTTTTCAGAGCAAAACTACGCGGTCGCGAGGAACACGATTCTTCTTCGCTAGACCGGGAATTACTGTTTAGGTGCTCGCTCATCATTTTCCTTTTTTTTCTTTTTTACCGCTAAAGTTTTAACCCTGCGGGTGGACAAGGGAATCTATTGGTTAAACGACGCAGTTTTCGTACCAACTATTAATTTCAAATAATTAAAGATGGATTAATAAATTATTTGAACATAACAAAAAAAAACAACTTAAATTATTTTAAATTAAATTCCAAATATTGTGGACTTCCTCAACCAAGTGCATGATTGTCATCACTTCATACTGTAAGGTGTTGGATTAAGTTCAACAAAAGTTGTGTTTAGTTATCATGCCGCTTATACTATGGGTGACACACGTGCTACAATAGTCAAGATAAAGGGTCATTATCCCACAAGGGTGAGCCAATTCAGAAAGCCTGTACTCAATTTCGACTTTAAGCTACACCTCGCCTACATGAAAAGTAGTGTATATAAGAAAACTATACTCCTCAACGTAAAGGTTACCTAATTTAGATGAATCTAGATGATGACCAAAAACAAAGACATTTAAAAAATAAATAAAATCATGCGTAACACGTGCGCGACATAGAAAGAAAAATCAAAATCAAATTAGGTAAGGCAATAAAAACAGCTTTTAACTTAAAAAAAATAAATAAATAAACAAAGAAATAAAGAAAAAGACCCGGTTGAGTGGAGTGGACCACACCGCCCAATGGATAATGAGAAGACACGTCACCGGTAAAACGCACCAATTATTCGCATCCCCTCCATTACTAATGCTACACGTAAGGCCATACTCTGCCACTGAGTCATTGCACCCAGTGCCGGTAGCCGGTAGTCGGTACGTTTCAAAACGTGAGAGATTCCTTCTTTTGACACGTAATTTTATTAATGGATTTTAAATTAGGTTATCGACCAAAAAAGTTAGATTACAAATAAAGTAGTAAAGAAAAAGTGTAAAAACTACCATTTTTTTAATTTTCAAAGACGCAATTTTTTAATATATTAATACAAAATAGATGCTAAAATTAAGAAATTTAAAGGTGAAAATCTATTAGAAATTCGGGTTCACTAAATTAATAAATTAAAGTCTGTGAATTTGAACATTAATTAATGGACCAGGCATAAATTACTATGTCAAATAATGATTTGATTTCTATTCGAAAACTATTCAACAAAAAAAAATTATATCAATATTCATATTAATTTTTCTTGGATAATCTTAAGCACTCGAGAGACCGATGTCTTTGGTGGCACACTGCCATGTGTCTGCCTCTAATATAATTTATAACAGCTCGAAGCCACTGCTAGCAGATATTGTCCATTTTAGTCAATTACTTATCATTATTAACGTTTTCAAATGTGTCTTTATATCGGACGAAGCATTAGTTAGAATAAACCTAGGCTCTCTTTATAATAAACTAAAGTTTATCCTATATTTTTTTAATTTGGTTATTTATTGGCATTTTAAATGTATAAAGATTATTTGGATTGACATATACTAAAAGTTTTTTTTTTTTTTTTTTTTTAATAATTTGATTGATCGATCGAAAAAAATTGTGTGAATATAATAATTGAGATGATATGGTTTTTAAAAAAATTAAGGTATCGAAACCTTTTTCATTAACTATTTATTTATTTTCTTCCGGTCTTCTTGTTCCGTCAAGGACGACCGAAGTTATTTCTTCTTCCTTCCGCAAGGATGGATGGATTGC